GAGAGAGAGAGAGAGAGAGTGTGTGTGGAAAAGAGACAATTTTCGCGGAGCATTCTCCGGTCGCGCGCGCGGATTTCCCTCGTGGCTCTCTTCCCCGTGGGTTTCCTTCTCTCTCGCCGTTCGTTGCGTCCGGGGCCATTTTGACGAAATGAAAATAACATCACGAGCCGCTGTACGCGGATTCCCCGCCCCCGCGGTCCTGCTCGCCGTCCTCGTGTGGTGCCACTGCGTATGCACGACCGCATATGCGAGATCGCACCGCTCCAAGTCCGTCGACGACGACAATGGCACCGTGCCCGTCGCCGCTTGCGACCTGGTCAGGCCATTCTTCGACACCAAGAACATCACGCTCGTGCCGGCCGCAGCGGATTCTCCAAAGAGTAAGTAGATCTTTCAGCACAAAAATAAATCGTCCCTGCGCGATTCTTAACTATGTGTCGTAATAATATCTTTAAATCGGAGGTATTCCTTTTTTTTCAATTGAAAAAAGAAAACAGGCTGAAAGAGCGTGGGATCCGATGTTCAATGAAAAAAAGAAGGACAAGTTCTCTGCTGTCGGTGTGTATTAAGTCAGCATTCCCCCAACATTCAAATTCCATAATTTTGCATCGCAATTCCCGTTTCATTTCGAAGAGTTCCCAATTGAAGGATCTCTGTTGATTAATGAAATTGGAAATAAATTAAAAAGAAAAAAATTTCCATCTATCTATTCCCATCAAGGATCTTTAATCTCCATTTAATTCTTTTACTTTTTATCTGTTTTTAATAATTGGCAGAAAAATAAATTATAAATCGGAATTAAAATTCGTTTACATTGATAGAACCGGATGTCTGTGTTGTTTATTAATTCCGTCGAAAGAGTCATCCTTCCGAGACGCGCGCACGCGGGGAGTAACGTCAGGCAGTCAAAATCAGATGATTCCGACATTTCTGTCGGACGGACGCGCCAGGCCACGAGCGTGTCGAGAAAACAAAAAGAGAGATAAACAGAGGGTACAAACAGAGAGAGAGAGAGAGAGAGAGAGAGAGAGAGAGAGAGAGCGCCGAGCGCATTTCGACAGATATTTCAAAATTAAACTACGCGAAGAGAGCGAGTGCTCAATAATTAGTATTGTTCGGATGGGATTTCATCAGTCGTAATTCGTCGGAACAAAAGTGACCGCGCGTCTCTCGTCCGCCAAAGTAATTCATTTTCACGATGCAGAACTCGATGTTGAGTTTATTTTGCAAGCGCGAGTTCGCGCGCGCGCGCTCCAATTTTACTTGCAGAGCACCGCGCCGAGTCAAGTTGGAATATTTCTAACAGCTCTCGCTGTTGCCTCGAGTATTAGCATAGTAATTTCCGCTAATTGGATAGAAATTACCGCCGATAGTACTTGTAATATTACTGTTATTAATAGTTGCCCGGCGCTAACGCACTATCAAATTAATACTAATAACAGTCGCCGGCTATTTTAAGGGATTATCAAAATCATTTGCGTTACCCGCAATTAATATTCGATACTCGATATCATTAATATTAATATTATCACATTTCGGTATGCAGTCATAATCGATATTTCATACTGAACGTATGCGAGTCCGGCGTGCATAAATTTGCACCGCGTTTCGCATGCAAATTGTTTTCTATTCTTCCTGTTAAACGCTCCGGTTTTCACGGATGATGATCGAAAGATTGGCAGGTGCCACTTAAATAAAGTGAATACCGCCAATTACTAGTGAGAAAATAACTAATCTAGAAAATATCGCAGTTATCCATCTAGAAAGTCTGTTCGAGTATCGCGAACTCTCGAAGAAAACTTCTGATGGAGCTCCTAGAGAAGAAAATTTTCCGGTTTATTCCTCGAAATTTGATTCGTCGAATCTCACATTTGCTGAAAGATCGTAAAGCACGAAGTTTACGTACGTCGATGTGCCTTCTTTTCCTCGAAGATGCGAAATTCGGAATTTATTTCAAAAGCCTCTTGTGAAATCGAGATTACGCAAATATTCGCGTAATTGAATTCCGGGTGTTTCGAATAAATCTGCGAACCCGCAAAATTTTTTTCGAGGGGTACATGATCGGAGGGCTGTCGAAGGAGGGAAAAATTTGGCGGAACGAAAGTTCGCGACGTATCTCGATCTCCCGACGTAAAGTCGTTCGCCTCGCTCGGCGTATCGCCTCGTGTCGGAGACGCGGCTATTTTTTTCCAGCGATTTTTCACCCTTCCCTACCTTCCTTCCTCGCTGATCTTATAATTTACGATGTTTCCCAGAACTTTGGAATATAATCCTATCGGCTAACACGACTCCGCCGAAACGAGCGTTGCATAACACGTGTCCGCTTCCATTTCTCCATCAATCTCGCGAGTTACTCGTTTACGAGACGGCGGCGACCTATTTTCAACGATCTAAAAGTAAGAAAAATGTTATTACCACAAGTCCGATTAGCGACGTTAACATTTTACTTTCCGTCGAGGAAATTAATGTGCCTTCATAAGTAATTACACGTGTAGATTAATGTCACACAGACGTCGCACGTCCTCCTCCGTTTCTCGGTCTCTTTATTTTTTAATTAATCTCGCATTAACCCGGTTTCGAGGGTCCCCCTCTTATCCCCGCGGTTTTTACATATCCCTACGAAATATAATACGAATACGACTATAAATATAACAAATATAATATTTAACAACCCAGTTATCTCTGATCGGTACGCTCGCGGTACAATTTTTCCACGCGTTTTTTCGTTATCCGTCCTATTTAGCATTCAGCTCCGCTCTTTTATTTTTACACGCGCGTTTAATTGCCGATTTCTATATTCATTCGCATTTTTATTTCGCGCTGCGCTCGTATATTTTTAAATTCGGTGCAGCGTTCGGTCGCGCGAAACCGGTTCGCTCGCAGCCAAGGAGGAATGCACGTCACCGCGGGATTTCGATCGTTCGGCGACCACGCGTATTTTCTCTCGGATCCCGGTCAAAATTATCGCGCGTTATATTATTATCGCCGAATATACGTGAATATTTAATGTAGCGCCCTAAATGCACGATAGTTCGTATTTATTATGCAAATGCGCGGGGCCGCGCGAAACAAAGGCGAATCCTCTGTGTTTGGATTTTTTTCGCGAATTTCACGCGAGTTTCCCGTTTCCCGCAAGTTAAAAATTTCAATGACAATCCCCCCGGTGATAATTCTTCGCGAGTTCATAATTACCCTGGCTTAATGACGAAGGAATAAATTCGAGGCTGGCGTACGGACTCTTCGGAGTCTCTCGCTCCTTGTCTATCTTTCGAAAATGTACGGGGGAGATCTAGAATTTTCTCCCGGTACATTGTTGTTTTATCGGCGTTGATTATATCGGAACGCTGGAGATGGAGCGCCGTTTGACGAAGAGACGCGTTCATTTGAACGCGTCGACGTTCCTTTCGCAAAATGGAGAGTGGCCGATACATCGGACATCCGTATGAAATGTATGAACGTGAAATTACGCGTGGAAGATGAAAACCTCGATTAATACGATAAAATGAAATTCCCGTGTGTACGTGTGAGTGCGCGCGCGCGCGCGCGCGCGCGCGCGTGTGTGTGTGTGTGTGTGTGTGTGTGTGTGTGTAGATA